CATCATTTTAGAACATAGGACAGGATGGAGAATATCCCCTGTGCGTTTTGAAGGTCTTCTGCACTAATTACTGTAACTTGCCAGCTACCAGCAGTTGTTAGCAAATGTTAGCCACCACCAGCGGATGTTCGGGACATGTCTTCAGCGATGTACCTTAGCATCTGCCTTTTAATTTGAGGAAAAGAGATCTACAGGAAATCAGTTTTCCCTATTGCCATAAAACATCTTAATCAATAAAGACAGTCACTCCTTCTCATGCAAACTTTTTATCAATCAATCTAATTTGGTTGTCGTGTGTTATGTAAGTATCTTTTATGTAAATATTTTGACAGAGGTAGACAATAAAGTATTTTCTATTTCCTTATTTATTTCTTCATTGGGTTTATTAGCAGGCGGCTACCAACATCAACGCACATTACCGCCATCTACTGTTGGACTGGGTTTACCTTTGATGCTGAACTTGGGATATGATCATGATTTGAACAAAAGATTTCCAGGTTCTACATCAAAGGAGAATTCACCAGTAGAGACCAATCTATGATCTTGTGTCATGAAGCTGATGATTTGAATTTCATGTTCTGTAAAGTGACCCAAACTAAACAAGACTGCTAAACTTGAAGTCAGTGCAGTGAAATCAAGATATTTTACTTTATTTATGTTTCCTTCCAGAACTAAATGTCACTTGGCAACACAAAGCGTGGGATAGATGAAACCACCGATGGCCTTGAGAAAAAGATTAGCAGCATGTTGTCGGCCACTTCAGAGGGGAGATCACTTAAAATACCCTCTTCTTCTCAGACCGGTGGTAAAGACATTCCACGTTCAGGACCTAAGGTTAAGAAAAAGACCCACCCTCCTGAAGTGACTTTACCTCCCCTGTGCACAAAGACACCTTCTCTCTCAGCAGCCTTTGTGAGTAGGCCCCTGTTCAGCCGAACACCCCTTCTCCAAAATGTCCCCTCTGAAAGATCTGTATCAGTGGTGGAGCCTCCTCATCATGTTGTCGGACCTAGGAGAGCCATGGAGGACACAAAATCGAAAGTGCCTCAGTGGATGGCCTCACAGACTGATATCTCACAACTAAGATGTCCTGCTGAGTTATTCTCACTGAGGTACATGAAATAGTGCAGACTGTGGTGATTTATAAAATATACAGTCCTGTTGTTTAGGCATTTATTAAAAAACAGCGTGATGAAATAGGATGACATAATTGAATTAAATTGGTGGTGGAGTGTAATAGGCTTTGTTGTGTCTTGGTCTTTATTTTGATATATGAATATGTATCTGCAAATACATATACTTTCCTTTTTATCCTTCTTATTTTTTAAAAATCCTGTCACACTGATATTTTTCCACTTAGAAAAGTAACGTTAGTGTCGGGATTTACTCCCCAAGCTATTTGAGTCTGCACTGACTTTCATTTTTGTTTGCTCTGCTTTTATTGCTTCAGTCTCACGGAGGAAGATGAATTAACAAAAGTTACAGCACGTAAGGATAAGAATAAAAGGGCTGTAAAAGCAAATAAATATCCACTCACTGGAAAAGAAGTCATTCAAATCTTTGCCCAGAGAGGACACCAGGCAGAATTGAAGATTTATTACCTAAAAGAAGCAAATGGAAACTCTTACAGGTACAACTGAATATTTACCATCCTGTAATTTCATACCTCTATAGATCTCTTCATTTACAAATTTATGAAATGCATTAAAGTAGGAATAAACATTGATGCATGCTCTTTTTATTTAGACCTTATGATCTGCAAGTGGTCCAGTCCGATGAAGCTGGCTCAGAGTATTACGTCTTCTCCCCCAATTCTGTGGTACATGTGACAGAGAGGGGTTATGGTGGACTCGTCAGTCTGGCTGAGTGGCACAGAGAGTCTGTGTTGTGGACAGATTTGCAGGGAATCCCATTTTTCAGAGACTTCAGGCTGCTGAAAATTTTCACCTGGTAAGTACATAAAGGCTGTAATTCATGTCTGTCTTGCTACTGACAGTTTTTCATCTCATTTTGCCTGTGCCCTTTTTTTTTTTTTTTTTTTGCCAGGTGGAATAGAAATGTGCGCAAGATAGTTTTTCAGCGCAGGTGCAAGGCCCTGCAGGACATGCTGCTTGTAGCTGTACCTCAGTTCAGAAGTTCTCTTCATCTGTTCGCCAAGTAAGTTTAAGCAAACCTGAGTCACGGTTACAGGATTAATAAAGCCAGCGCACTGTGTTGCTGCTTTCCCACATGCTCTCACATCTGGACATTTTCCTGGAATTTTCTGGAAGGGGGAGTTTGTGAAATTGCAAATGTCAGTTTCTCCTCTCGTAAAATGAGCAAGTGTGATTATGATTTTTCTGACACGCGACGGACGTGAAACTGGAAGAATAAAACAATTTTAAGGATTAAAAGAGGAGCCAAACACGTAGAAGACACAAACGAAGATGTCAACTTGTAAAAATCAAAGAGCTTTTGGCGATAAGGGCCGACACTAGTGTCCATGTGCTTACTGTGCTTTCCTCAGTGGAATTTAAACATCGTATCCTGCCTGTTGCTGCTCTAACCAGGCTCCACCCCTCACCTGAATGTTTCAACATTTTACTGTTATTGTGACCTGGATAAATTCCTGCTTTGTTCTTCACATGTTAGGGCAAACTTTGGAAAATGTCCAGATCCAGAGGTCATGTCTGAAAACAACCAGGATGTAATATTCCTTGACTTGCTGTCAGTAATACTTACAGAACTATCAGACTTTTAATGAATGGCTCTGAATTTGGTTAGCCATTGATTCTGACCTCTGTAAATTCTAAATGTAAAGTAGGACAAATTTTTACTTTAGCATGTTCAGATCATCCATTAACTCTGTATCTTTTACAGACTGATGGAGGATCTGAACGAGACACACTGGCTGCCCCAAGAGGAATCGCACACCTACACAGTGATTGAATTCAAGAACGTTCTGATGACCAGGAATCAAGAGTGTCTGCACATTCTGCAGACGCTATCACAGTGTCGCTCTGCCATCCTTAATGCGGTACTTTATATAACAACTTCAACCTGTGTAAATAATATCGTTAACAATTAAGAGCTTTTGGAGTATTGGAAAGAACTTACATATTTTATAATATCTGAGATTAAAGACTTTATTTCCCTGAAATGACTTCTTGTTATTCTTTTCTATCCCCAGGTGAAAGAGTACTGCTTTAAGTCGCACCAGGAGCTGCAGTCACACATGCAATATGCTAAAAAGCCAAATATATGCTACAAACCCATTTACCTCCACCTGGCTCACCAGCAGGATCTGGATAAGGAGTTTGCTCGTTCTGAAACTGTCCTGCAGAGATTGGGGAACTTTGGTTCCCTCGTCAATCGAATGATTGTGCAGAGTCTCGTCACAGTCATCCGTCAAGATGTCGTCTCTTTTCTCAGCAATTTTCTGAAGGTGACACAAGCATTCATTCAATCCATTCTATGTTGCGGTGTTCCTCTACATGAACAAGCTTTCTGCTAGAAAATAATTAAAGCTGATTAAAAACGTATTAGCCTTGTCATTTTAGTCTGTAAGGCACATCTTTAATCCACAGTATGTTCAGATCTCAGCACTGTTAAACCCTGCCCTTGAGCTATAACCAGGAGAGACATGCATAAAAAAACTTTCTGTGAAGCACCACTGCTCAATGAAATATTGCAGAAAGAATCAGTTAAAGCAAATTCTAAAATAATTTAATGAATATTTCACTAAATAAAGCTATTAATGTTTTTTTTTCTGTGTTTGTTAGAGAAAGAAATCTCAGCTGTGTAGTCTTTTCAGCACCGAGCTGTGTTTCAGTGCGAGCAGTCAGCTGACTGTGGAGCCACCGGTACATCTCTTTCAGGAAGCAGTGAGTGAAGCACTTCTGACTGTTGGCAACTCCGTTATTCAGGTAACTTAAAAAATGTCCACATTTGCAATTAAAGCTATACCTACAGGTGTGGGTGGTTTTTACAACTTCCTTCTCTGGTAGATGTGCGACACTAGTGGATTCTTCTTGGAAATCAGCAACAGCCTTGATATCGACGACAGCTCGGTCACTGATCAGCCTTTAACTTCTGACCTCTGTTGCATTGAACATCATACTGTCACAGGTACGGTCACTTTCACTGAAGATGTTCTTGGTCTCTCACAGAATTATTTTTTTGATATTAGATACTATGAGGTTTGTTGAATATGATAATGTTCATGAATCCGGCCAAATGTTGTCATTCCTGTTTCTACAGATGCAGATACATAATACCTCCCTAATTTATTCAATCAACAATTGAAATTGATGTATCCATGTGTTTTAATTCCCAGCAGACAATGAGAACACTGATGAAATGACATGTCGTAGAAAGTTGTGCTGCTGGCAACTTCTCAGAGACCTGCCAGCTCACTCGCTGTCAAACCAAACCATGCAGATGGTGCAGGGCAACACGGTGCGCGGCTGCTTCTATCCTCTCTCTAAGACACAGCTGCAGTGGCAGATCAGTGTCAGTGACTTTTCAAAAGACGTTGAGAGAGAGATGACCAAGATCATGAAGGTGAGTCTCACTTTCAAACACAGTCGTTGACGACATCAGTAATTGTGGAAAAAATATGCACACCAGCTCATGCATGTATTTATTAATTCTCACTTATAGGAAGCTTTCTTAGAAATCCAGCAGCTGTGTGAGAGCAACAAATTGTTGGCAGACAGTCATTCGTTCATTAGTCAATGTAGCCGAGCCTCTTTGGAATCCATGAGGGGTCAGCCTGCTCTACAGTATGAGGAGCATATTAAGAAGATCCGCGACTGGGCTCAACAAATCAACACATTTCCCTCATCAATCTCTACCTCCAACCAAGTGTTCATAATCCACTGCACCCACATAAAGGAAACTCTAGGTATGTATGGGTCTGATGAAAGTAATTATATCTCCTCTGCAGTGTGACTCGAAGTCTTAATGATTCCTATTCAAGTATGTGTCTTGAGGAATAGGCATGAAACCAGGAAATCACCTCAGTAGTCTTTTCATGGGTAAAAAAAAAAAAACGTAGGTCTTAATAATAATTCCGTGCTTGTTACCTTTGTTTTAAATTCAGGGCGACAGCTGAGGCGCATTGAGGAGGAGGTGTTCGAGCACCTAGTTGAGCAGATAAAGCTGCAGTCAGAGAGCCTTGTATCAGACCTGGAGAAGACCACAGCCAGAGTCAAGACAAAACCAAAAGACTTACCTGACTTCTCCAAATATTCTCTCATGGTACAGAAACTCACTAAACTTCACATACTTGCATGAGAAATAAAATGTCAAAACAAACATAGAAATAGGTAACTAATGCAAAAAAGATGCAAATCCCAAAGGGTTAGAAAAAGATCTCATCAAAAGATTATACCCCAAGTAGTATCTGTTACCTTAACATGGGAGGGTGATGGGAAATTCTAATCCTCTTGAGACTCCTGTCTTAGTCACACTTTCACTTTAATTGAATTATTCATCCCAAGGGCTCTGCCTTATCAGAGGAAATGTGTTTTGAATTTATATTATCTCAGAATAATCAGGTGATGCATATTCCATTAAGGTCTTTAGTGCTTTTATTTGTGGGCACACCAGGGAAGGTACACATCCAGCCAGTAGGCACAAGAATATTGTCTTATGCCTCTCTAAGTCTTAGTGGTGTACACCTGCAAAGCTTAAAATCAAATCAAAACCTATAATCAATGACGCTGAAGTAAAATTGTTTTCATCCAAACAACATAAGAGATTAATTGCATGATAACATGGTAAAATGAATAAGTGATGAATATGTCCCCCTGTCTGCAGGTGACGGAGTCTTGGAGAACGATGTCAGACACACAGAAACAGCTTGAGTACATTCACTCCCTCCAGGACACCATTGGCAGGAACTACAGAGCGATGACTGAGCAGGAGCTGACTTTGGAAGAAAAGGTCTGTAGGCGTAAAATGATTTCATTGATACCCACATCTGAGCGATTACTTTTTTAAACACTGAGCTTCTGTTTGTGCTCTATATTTAGATGCTGGGCCTGTGGGACGGCCTTACACCCCTCTTGAAGGAGGCAGACAAAACTGTACGCCAGTTTGTTCCTACAGTGGTGAATGCATCAGACACAATGGTCCAATTTTTGGTCTCTGACCTCAGAAATACGGTCTCTCAAGCTTCAAGCGGACCCTTCCTTGACCCAACCCAGAATGTCAAAGAGATGGTTTCCAGACTGAACAATATGTGCACTCATGTGCACAATCTAAATGCAAAACTGGAGCAACTTAACAGGAACAGTCAAAACTTACGAGGTATGAATTATGGATATAGATAATTTTAGTTGCTTCAACAACCACGGGGAAAAACTGGGAAGGATAATTATATCAGATTATAACGTTCTGTTTCCTCCCATCAGAACATACAACAGATTTTACCTGTTTGACCTCGGATATTCAGAAAATCACAGCCTGTAAAGACTTGTGGGAGCTGGTAGCTGCATACACAACATGGACAGAAGAATGGAAACAGCTGAATCTCAGTGAGGTAACTGTCAAAACTCTTTCTGCTTATTGACAAGATGATATAATATATGATATTATGTATATACATTCATGGTGATGACAGATTCAAACAGTTTGAAATTGATCTTAACTTGAATTTACACGTGTGTTGCGCGAGTTAAAACACTGTTTTGTTGACCATGTGACTCAACCCTACACAACAATTTTACATCAGGTTGTGGTGTTACAAGCCCAGGAGAGAATTGCCGGGTGGAAGGAGCAGGCTCTGTCTCTAACAAGCATCATACCTACCCATGATGCAGTGCTGCAGGGGACCTTAGGAAATCTGGACAGTTTAAGTCGTCAGCTTTCAGTTTTTGCCAAACTACAGAGCCCCATTTTCAGACATAAACACTGGAGAGCTATTTTTGAAGGTCAGACAGTGCTTTCATATTGTAACATAAGAATAATTTGTGAACTATCTGAAATGATGAAAACAAACTCCTTCTGGCAGGCATGGGCCGACTCTATGTCCCAGAGAAGAAGGTCACTGTCGCTGACCTGATGTCTGAAAAGCTTGAAGTTCACCAGAACCTAATTAGCAAGGTACGAGTATGGGAAATGTTACATACTGACAATATTTTGTGCAATAGAAAGAAAAGTTGAATGATTATATTATTACTGGTACCTTATACTTTGTCAGATATGCAGTGATGCACAAGCAGAAAACAACATGGAGGAAACCTTCCACAAGCTTCAGCAGGGATGGAAAGCCAAACTCTTTCAGCTGGACACATTCACTCACACTGTTTGGCAGCATTGTGAGCAACAACATGGATTAACGGAGGAAAAGAAACCCACTGTGGGAATTATTTCAAAGCTCCAAATTGCCAGTCGACACTCCTGTGATAATGCAAGATTCATCCGTATTGGTGAGGCTCAATATCGAGTGAGAGATGTAGTCTTTCTTAGCATGCTTAGATTATACTATGATGTTGTGAACCACTTCTGGTATAAATGTGGCACTGCTTGCCGTCTTGTTTTGAAAGATTTTGGCTAGTTCTGGTTTATTTAGTTCATTATTGGCTGACATGCAGCATCGCTCTGGCTTTGGTTGTGGCCCAGATCTGGCTCAAGTGCCATTATTCCATGTGGTATACACACTGAAATAAGGTGTTGGGTGTGGGCCAGAGCAATCTTGTTGTGTTTTGCTCTGTTGTTTGGGGGAAATTTGTGAAAAAAATTCTGCTCACAACTTGTGTTTTCTTCCCATTCAGGTCTTGAGAAGCACTTTGCTGAGATAGAGAATGATTTGATGGCTCTGTCTATCATGTTGAAGTCTCCATACAGTTTTGACTTCAGGCAGCAGATTGAAGAGTGGAAACAATCACTGCAAGATCTCGGTAAGAAATATGACTTACAATTATTTTCTGTTTTTTGCAAAATAGTTTGAACTGTAAGAATTGAATGGATTCCTTTGCTTTTTCTCTCAATATTAATAGAGAACCTGCTCGGTTTATTTGAAAGATACCAGCAGACATGGACCTTCCTGATGTTGAATGAAACATTCCTCAGTGTTCAAAGAGTGGATCTGGTATGTGTCATCACAAGTCAAACATTTGCAATGCTGACACATTCAGCGTTTACATGTCATATCAATTCATGGGATGTTTGTGTTTCTTCATAGCTGGAGAAGTTCAAACAGGTTGATGAGACATTCAAGGAAATGATGCGGAGTATATCAGCCAACCCTTATGTGATGAACTTCGTACATTCCACAAGAACAAATGGGAAGTTTCATGGTAATAGTCTTCGCCAGATACTCATCGATGGTCTGTCTACAATGGAATCGATTTCCAACCAGATGGTGGATCTCCTGGATTCCTTCCGTGAACAGTTTGCAAGACTCTGGTTCTTGAGCAACAGGGAAGTAATACAACTACTCTCCTCTCACCCAGTGCCTTTCACGCTGCAACCCTTTGTACGCAAATGCTTTAAAGCGATCCACACGCTTGAAGTGGATAGGGAAATTCCACGTTATACGAGAGATGGCCAGACCGATGGAAGCCACAGACAGATGAAGGTGCTGGGGGTTTTCGCCAGCCTCCAGGAGCACATAACCTTTCTGTCTCCTTTAGAGTCAAATCCTCATGCCTTGGATTGGTTTAGTCAGTTTGAGAAACAATTAGAATTGACCATGATGCAGCTTGTAAAACAATGTTATGTTGCTCAAAACCAGCTTCAACGATCCAGTCAAGATTTGGCACGTAACAAGAAGGACGTCTTGCTTCAGATTGCGAATGGCAGAAAAAATATTCAATCCGTGCTGGATCTGCTTACTGAATACCCTCTCCAGTGTTTGCTGGTGGCTGAGGAAGCAGTATGGTCCAATGTTGTTCTCCGAGCTCTCCAAGAATCAGGCCCAGAGAAGCTGAACAACATAAAGGCCTTCAACTCTGAAAAACTGAAAAACCTTAGCCGTTGTATAAGAGACAGAGGCACAGGGGCAGAAAGTGAACCTCTGGTTTCTAGATACACGATGGTGTGTCTGAGCGCTTTAGTGCAACTTACAATGAATCATGCACAGCAGCTGAATCAACTCATGGAGGTGCAGTGTGAACCGGGGTCATCTTTCGAGTGGCTTACCATGATGAAGTATCATATAAAGTCAGAAGATCAGAGTTTGAAATGCATTGATGATCCAGCGTGTTACATTGACGTTTTGGGCCATCACCTCCAATATGGCTATGAGTATTTTGGTCCAGAAGACTTGGTGATGGTGCATACTCCTTCTACAGATCGGGCAATGCTGGGGATTCTCCTTTCTCTGACCAGCTACAGTTGTGGGTTCATGACTGGACCTTGCATGTCTGGAAAGAAAAATACCATGGTCCAGTTAGGAAAAGCACTGGGGCGACAGGTTGTCACTGTACAGTGTTATCCAAGCATGAGATTTGATGTTGTCCAGCAGATGCTGTTTGGTGCCCTCCAGACTGGAGCATGGCTTCTGTTTGACTCTGTGGACTTACTAACACAAGGGGTCCTATCGTCACTGGGACAGCATCTATTAGACATCCACCAGTCTTTCAGTGGGTTCACAGGAAATGGGAATCTAAAGGACAAGACTGCTGATGAGGTCATAGGATGTACAAGTACTGATCCAGAGTGTCGAATGATACTCGCAGGGAAAGGCATTTCTGCGAACCTCAACTATGGATGTGTTCTCATCTCTTCAAGGGGGTACACATCCGAGCTTCCAGAGAGACTGCGATTTGCAATGAGACCAGTCGCATTGACCCGTCCAAGTTACAGGATCATTGCAGAAGTGATGCTGACTTCCAGTGGTTTCTCAGAGGCCATGTCTTTGAGTCAACGTCTGGTGTCTCTCATCAATCTGGCTAAGGATTCTCGCTGTCTGCTTGATTCCATCACAGATGAACAGAACTGCTTTGTTGTTGTCTTGCAAAGGATCATCTCTGCCTCTGAAATGCATTTAAAACAAAGTGTGATGCAACAGAAGATTTCAGATGAGGCTAAAAGAGAGGCTGCAGAAAAAACTGACCTTGTCTCTTCTCAAAATGTGTTGGCCAGAGATCCTGAGGTGGAAAGCAAAGAATTTGAAAAACAAAATTTGCCCAGATCTCATTTGTGTATTATACAGGGCTTAATGGAAGAAAGAGCCCTTGTCAAAGGGATTATTTCTGTCTTATTACCGGCTGTTTATGGCCACAAGAAAGCCTTGCAGTTCTACACCATTTTCAAGGATGAATTCCCCACAGCATGGGAGTTTCCTCTTTTCCAACAATATTTTGAAGAAGAAGAAAACAACCAACTTAAAGAAGCAATCAGAGAAGAATTACAAAGGAAGCAGTTGCATCCTGACACAGAAACCATTTGCAGCGCTCTAACACTCTACCAAAAAATGGAATTGTCTCAGGCAGTACTGCTCATAGGCCCCTCAGGCAGTGGAAAAACAACCTGTCACTGCGCTCTGGCTGGAGCGCTCAGTAGTCTGGCTGCCAAGGCAAAGGAAAATGTGTTTGAAAATGACAATGTGATTAGAGGAGACCCCCCACAGGCAGATCCACAGATCTGGCAGTCAGTTGATACTGTGGTTTTATTTCCTAATGCCATGTCCCATGATGAGCTGTTTGGCTGCTTCTGTGAAAAGAGAAGCTGGCAAGATGGAGCTATTCCAAAAGTGGTGAGAGATTCAGGACGATGGGAACACACAAGTTCTAAATTGTGCAACAGTAAGAGGAATAGTGGTCAGACTCCAATAGTGAAATGGATGGTAATGGATGGCGAGCCTGTTGGACAGCCCGGCTGGTTCGATTACTTAACCACTCTGTGCAACCCCAAGGACCCTTATCTCTTCCTCTCATCAGGGGAAAAACTTGTGCCATTCCGATCATCTGTAAAGCTACTTATGGAGATCACAGACCTAAGTGATGCAAGCCCCTCTGCAGTGACCCGCTGTAGCCTCATTCATTTCACAGGAAGTGATCTGTGGAAGGCTGTGTGGAAGAATGAAATGGATGTTCTCCACTCTGAATACAAACTAGACCAGGGAACCTTGAAAATGTGGAATCGTCTAGCTGAAGATCTTTTCTCCAGCACTCTTAGTTCACTTAGGCAGATGGCTTTAACCTCTGCAGTCCAAAGTGAAGGTCAATCTTCCAAAAGCTCCACCTATGGACTGCAAGAAATCACCTCATTTGTTCGGATCTTATCCGCCCTCCTACAACATTTTGGGAAGCAAGTAGAAAAAGCCGAGGCAACACCACTTGGAGACAAAGCAGGTATAACTATTGTTCATCGACTTATGACCTTGTGATAGTAATGGTGGTTTTTATCATTTTAAAAACTAACCCTTGTCTCTCCAGATTTACATGGAGCCGGTACATCAGACATCGATGTCCAAAGCAAACAGAAGAAGTTCACCAGAAACCTTTTTCTGTTGGCTTATATTTGGGGATTTGGTGGACATCTGCGTCCTCGGTAGGATTTTACTTATTGTTGTTGTATATTCTTTCCTATCAAAATAGCAATATAATATAATATAATATAATATAAATTTTTTTCAAACAGAAAGTCTCCTCGATGAATATCAGTAACCATTGACATTCATGTATGTTTGTTTTGATTTCAGGCACTGGCCACAGTTTGACTTGCAAGTTCGCCAAGTGCTGTTTTCTTGCCGGTACAAAATTATTGTTCCTGACGATGAGAGTGTGTTTGAACACTTTTTTAACCATGAGAGTAAGATGTCCACCAAGAAAACACTGTTGACAAATTCCATCACTCCCAAGGTTTGTCTTGAACATTTCATCTAGTGAAATTTCATAAATATGCTGATCACTACATTTGATAACTCGCAACTGTTCTTAATTGTTTGTACATAGTTTGGGAGCTACACCTATCTACTGAAGCTCATGTTGGAGGCAAATCAGCCAGTGCTGCTCACAGGGGATCCCGGCTCTGGAAAAACCAGTCTGTCTCAATCTTTGCTATGTTTTGATAAGCCAAACATCAGCCTAACAGCCAGTCCACTCCTGAGCTCCAGAGACCTGCGCACTATACTGAGTAACATCAGCTGTCTGAAGCACAAAGGTGCTGTGGGTTCTGCGACCAAAGAGCCAAGACTGCTTCTGTTTGTGGACGATTTGCACGAAGCCCCTTGTGGTGAGTACGAACATTCACCTCAGAAGAGCTAAAATGATTAAATTTAAATGTGATTGAGTTTTTATAACAGTAATATTTGTGTTCTTCTTGTTGACAGATGTCTTTGGGAAGACATCGACTGCTCTAGAATCACTACGACAGAGTATTTCAAAGGGAGAGATTGTAACATTTGATACCTACCACTTCAAGTCATTGTGTTCAGGACTCATCAGTTACATGGCTACCTGTTGTGCCTCTGGATTGGGCAATTACCACAGTAATGTGATATCCTCCCGGCTCTCACGCCTGTTCTCCATCTTTGTACTCCCGAGCCCATCTACAGACATCATATTGTCCGTCCATTCTCCAAGGCTACAAGCTTGGCTCAAAGGAATGCCACTTCAACAGAGTTGTGAGGATATGGCATGTGGTATCATCACTGCAACTCAAACTCTATATCATGCTATATGTGACCAATTCCAGCCGAGTGAACAGAGGCCCTATTTCATGTTCTCCCATCATGACCTGCAGAGGGTGTTTCAGGGAATGTACTTGTGGCAGCCAAACTTCCAAAACACACGGACAATTCAGAAAAAGGTCGTTGCACGACCTGGGTTTCCTCCAGACCTGCCAGAGGCATCAGTACTAAAAGTAGCACTCATGCATCTCTGGATGCATGAGTGCATGAGGACTTTTCATGATAGATGCTCTGAGGAGGAAGGCAAAACTCTTGTGTCACTTATAGCAAAGGTTGCAACAACACAGTTTGGCATTAGATTGGATGGTGAACCCCTCTCTGATGGTACACATGTCCCACCCACTGTCACAAGCCATAGACAAAACCTAACAACTCACCTTCAGCAGCTCCAGATTCTTCACCATATGGAGGGCACTGTGGCTGGGCTTGTTTATGGTCCAGAGCTTTCTGAGACCTTCCATTCAACTGATCGACAACACGGTTCTAAATGTGTCTTTGGTTACAAGGAGCAAGACCTTGATTCACTACTGCAGCAGCTGCCTGCTCTCATCGACAGAAATGGAGATGACAAAGGACCTGACGTTGCTAATAACAAGATTACATCCAGATACGTTGTGCACAGACAGAGAGTGGGTCAACTGTTACATATACTCAGAGCACTGCTCACACCTGGAGGTAATGGAGTGCTGATTGGCTCAGACAGAGGAACAGGACGTAAAACTACTGTACGTTTGGCCGCTGATCTTACAGGCTACCGGTTGATGGAGGTACATTCAGGCAATAAGAACAAGTTGCACGAAATCCTAAAAGTGGCTGGGAATCAAACGAGAGTGGACGGAGTCCATGTTATCATACTGGTCCATGAGGAAGTCGGCCAGTCTGTTAGAGAAGAACTGTTGCTGGCAATGAAGCGCAGAACCTTCCATGGGCTCTACACAGAGGAGAAGCTGAAGAACCTGGTTTCCAGTGTGATGGACGTGAGAAAGTCAAGACAAACTCTCATGCACAGTTGGATGTTTGATAAGTAAGAGGAAATACCCAAGTGATCTTTCAATTCTCATCTGAGAACTGATAGTTGTTGCAGCTCAACCCCATCGTACTGTCCTATTGAAGAATTAGACCTAGAAGTACATTCAGTCAGTATTTTGTGTCCTTATGTAATTTACTGACATCCATAAATGTTTGTAATGCTCATGTATTGTGATGTGGTAGTACTAGTATCGTTGGTATATTTATGTTAATCCAAAATCATTCACCAGAATGTGCTTATCAGAAAATAGTTTAGCCACTTACAGTAAAAATTTGGAAAATATAATGAATGTACTTTGTAAATCATGTTCATTATTTATTTTTTATTTGAGGTACTTGAGCCAAGTCCACAAAAATATCCATGTGTTCCTTCTGATGTCCTCCACCAGCGATGGAACCCACGTTAGGAATGTGAGTATTTTCTTTGAATTATTCTGTCACTCGAGCTTCGTGTCTGTATTTTATGATGAGATACAAACTGTAATTTTCAGATCACATTCATAAAAACAAACAAATAAGAAAAACTCATTTTATTTTCAAAATGTATTTTCCAAACCTCCTCTCCCCAAACTGACACATCACAGTGAGCTCCGTGTTTTTGTTGTGTATTCAGTCTTGCTTAAAAAGTGCAGGCCTAACCGGAGGACTTTGTTTTTACTTTCCAGAGACAAGTGACCAAGGCCCTGAGTCTGAGCTGCTGCGTCGAAGTGTACCAGCCGTGGTCCAGACAGACTCTGGTCGGAGTTGCTGCTCAATTTCTCAAAACCAGTCCCCACAAAAGTCAGTAACTTCACATAAACTAGTCTATTCTCATTCATTTTAACCATTTAAAAAAAAAGATGTTTCTAAACTATATCCTGACTTTAATTTTCTTTTTAAATTTATTTCAGTGGAGACAGATGGCTCAGTGGCCAGCCTGTCAGTGGCTATGGCAGGAATCCATCGATCTGCATGTCAGTATGCCTCTGTCCTTCTCAAAGCTCAGCCTTTTAACCCTCTGACCTTTATGGAGTTCATCACCCACTTTGGTTACCTCTACATCCACCTGCGCAAACAGCGGCAGCGACGAGCCAACAGGTAATTTGTCTTTTTCTGGTATTTGAGTAGAATTTCTTCTTGTGTTTCCACTTTTTAATGAACATGACCTTGATCGTCTCACTGCAAACTACCTCCTGAACAAGATCTGACACAGCTGCAACAAAAGCGAAACATTGACCTTATCAAAGTTATCTTTTCTTTGCACTTTTGGTCTATAATTACTTCTTCTTTTTTTTTCAGAGTCACCCCTGTTTTGTCTCATGTGGATGTATTGAACGGAACAACTCTGCGGAACAAACTACACTTGGAGAAACTGAGGATCAAGGTTGCTGAGATCCAGCAGGTATTGTACAGCAATTCAGCTCGAGTGGGATCAATATTCTGTATAATATTGCAGCAGTATTCGATTCTTCATCAAGGTTATTTGTCATCAGAGACAAAAAGGACTCGAACAGTCTTGCAAGCAACATATTCAGTGCACTTCAGAGACTTATGTATTCTGAACAACATACTTCACTGCAGGGGCCATTGTCAATTCATTTCACACCGACAAACTCAGCTGACCAATCTAACCAAGCTACATGCAAACATCAGTTAATATTGTAATTTAAATAATATTTTAATGAAAAATCTCTTCATTAAAGCTTTGTTCTCCTCCTCTTTTTCCTGCAGCACGAGAACTTTCTCATCAGAGCTGTCGATAACCAGAAAACCCGTCTAGAGGAAGCTCAGATGAAATGTACGGAAGTGGAGAACAAGCAGCAAGACGTGGAAGAACAGATTAAGGAAGCTCATAAGCAGGTAAATAGATTATATATATAAAAAGCCTATCATTATAAATATAGAACATATTCATAGAAGCATTTTCATCATCCTCATGGCTGTCCTTTGGAGCAGTTCAGAACATTTAGAGGAAGTGTCACTGAAGATGAATCCTTTTGTCTTTCTAGTTGAAACCTGTGTTCCTGTCATGCCTCAAAATTCTTGAATGCCTGGATTTTTCTGACCTGGAGGAGGTGCGTCACTACAGAGAGCCCCCTGATGGAGTGGTGATAGTCATGGATGCTATTTGTTTGCTGTTCAACCATCCGCTAGGCTGGGATAGTGCTAAACAGCTTCTTAGACGACCAAACTTTTTTCATGTAAGTGGAAAAATGTAATTTTTCTAGATTTTGGAACAGATTTTTTTGGGATACCTCATAATTAGCGACTGTCAGCAAATTAAACACAATACTGTAAAATAACAGGACACACACATGTACAAGGTACTTGTTCCAGTGTGTGTAGTATATACGCTTCGGTATTGTTGTGTTGAATTCTTGTTGAGTGTTAAGTGGCTGCTTTGGTGTTAATATACTGTTTCTCCTTTTACCAGGAGCTGGAATTCTTTGACCAGTTCATCCTGACGCATGAACAACTGCGGCAGCTCCGCCAGATAGTCAACAGTCCTGAGTTTGTGCCAGAGGCTGTGCGAGAGGTGAGCCAGGCCTGTGAGTCCCTGTGTCGATGGGTCCAGGCTGTATATGAATACTTCTGTATGCGATACCAACTGTTGATCAAGCGGCAGTTGGAGGCGCTGGACAGAGAGGTGCGAGGTCAACTGCACCAGGCCAAGCAGCACAAAGAGGACGCATGCGTTGGTCTGGAGGATTTGATGCTTCAGCTTCAGTCTACACAAAAGGACCTAGAAGAGCTACTGACGAAGCTGCATGAAGCTGAGAGAATAGAAAGAGAATTTACCGTAACTGCTGAGCAGTTGGAGGAACATGTCAGAGACTGGAGAGCTGCTGCTGAGGTAACACAATTTCCAAATACTCTGTACATGTCACTTAAACATTGTTTATTTTTTGGATATTATATTATATTTAAAAAAAATGTCTTTCTATTTTCCCTTCAGGAGGCAGAGTTACAAAATCAAAACCTACCAGGAGATGCCCTCATCCTGGCTGCAATCATGGCTTATTCAGGCCCCTTTCCTCCTGATGTACGCACAGAGCTACTAACCAAGTGGAGAAAGCTATGTCAGACAGGAAGCATCAACATAAACCCAGAGGACCCCAGAACATCCCTGTTTACACAGTCAGACCCTGCATCTCTTACTCCACATCTCGGTTTTCCCATCCATGTTTTTGAGAGGCCGCAGCTTCCTCTGGGTCGGGCCTTAGGTCTGAGCGACTTGCGGCTCCAGAACTCGCTATCTTCCAGACTTGTGGTCCAGTTGCTGCTGTGGGGCTACAGAATTTCCCTGGGTCAGCGCTGGCCTCTACTGGCAGACATCCAGCAACATCAAGAGAGAAGCTCCAAGAGCTGGTGCCTCACAGGTAGGTCCTGAGACAACATCTGTGCTGGGGTTTGATGCATCCTGTGTCGTCCTAATTTTAGTTTTCAGCCACCAGAAGTCCGTCTGTTTCCTCTATAGAATAGGATGAGTTGTAAATTGTATAGAAAAAACAAAACATGACAAGTATCTGCTCTTCAGGTGACGATATCGATTGTGGGATGGTGATTTGTGCCGATGACCCAGAGCTGCTGGAGAAACTGGACCAGGCTGCTGAGAAGGGTGAATTAGCTGTTTCTACACTAAAGAAAATAATCAAATATATTCAGTGTTTTCACTCTTAAGTCAATCCAACCATTTTGTTTTGTAGGTTGGAGAGTTCTGGTATCTCACGTGGAACACGCAAACCCCAGTTCCCAGTTCCTGGCTCGATTGGCACCCCCTGCTGGATGTTGCCCTCCAGGGATGAAGCAGCGTGTTCAACCGACCCACCGTGAATTTCGCCTTTGTCTCAGCACTCGTCTGCCCGTCCGACTGCTCAGCAGCGGTAAGAGCGGTTTGTCGAGTCAATATAAACAGAGGTTGTCTCTGTGAAAGTTGTCTAACTGGGTGTTTTTAATGCAAAAGGAGTGAAGGATAGATCTCAGGGGAATGAATGTACATTTTGGCTTTATAGAGTTTTTGCAGTTGTTGATTTTTTTATCCTGGTTGCATTATATTTTTCGGGTCGATATGACTTCAAATCATTATCTCTTTTATTTTAAACTTCTATTTAGATTAAGTATTAACTGAATTAACCGAGATGAGCAACATTAAAGAGGTTTTAAATGTTGGTTTTGATAGATATTCGGTTAATTGACCAGCCCTATTGTGTAGTTTTATTCTGATGGAGATTCATCATCATTTGGAGACTGTGTGTTTCTAGCTCGCTTTGGTTTTGTCATCGATTCACAGATGAACAAATCGTAATGACGTCGTGTTAAAACAGGATTCAGCTCTTTTTAACCACTGGCTTTAAAAAAACCTTAAACAGTAATGAACTCGACTCTGTACATTTAGGATGTGAGCTCTCTTAACCCATAAGTAGTGAGTATTTATTCTTGCTCTTGTTCCTCAGGGATCCATCCATCCATCTTGGCCCAAGTCCACGTCGTCGACCTCTCCCTGAGCTCAGAAGAGATCGAGGAGCTGATGCTGACGCAGCTGCTGCAATCTGAGTGTAAAGAGCTGCTGATTCAACACCGACGGTTCCAGAATGACAAGCAGCTGCTGCAGGAGAAACTAGTCAGAGAAGAGGTGACTCCACCACTGTGTTTACCATCACACCAAATAGATCAGGAGCTTTAGTCTGACTTTTCATCTCCATGTTTCTTATCACCTGGGCTCTTCGGTGCTTTCCTCCCTGGGCTGAGACTGATTTATACATTATTTTAATTGAGCTGCCAAGTTGTGGGGCTTTTATGCAAAATGTGATTTGATATATGATGTTGCGATCTGCTGTTGTTCGTAGCTGCTGTACATCTGTTGACTTGTACTCATTCTTGTCTTAGGATGCTCTGATGAACTGCGTCCTGCAGTCGAACAACTTGACGCCGCCGGACTCTGATTTTCACGTGAACGCGGCTGTCATTCAAGAGGCGATGAAGAAACTGCAGACCGAGATCCAGCAGCTGAGCGAGGAGCTGGAGCACCACGAGGCTCTGGTTGCCACCCCCCGACAGCTGCTGAGGCTGGCCGCCGCCCTCTACCAGTCCCTGCAGGAGGTGTCCCGTCTTTCCCCTGGCTACTTCTTCTCCCTACGCCGCTTCATCGCAGTTATACAAGACGTCTTCCTCGAGAAGGACAGGCCATTAGTGTCGTTTGCCGTTGGAAAAGTGCCAAGGGGCATAGAGCCAGAGATTAGGAACAAGATGGTTTCCCAGCTGCTGCTCCAGTACAGGCCTCTTCTTTTCAAGAGTCACTTCACTGTTCTGAAGCTGCTGGTGTCTGTAGCTCTGCTGCAACACCATCAGCTGTGCTCTGAGGGTGAGAGGGGGGCTTTCCTCAGGGGCCTTCAAGACATTGAACATCAACCCTGTCCCCCGTCTCAGACTGCGTCACAGTCCACCTCCTCTCTGCCCGGCTGGATACCCCCTCATACACACCCGGAGCTCCTCTGCCTGGAGAGTATCCCAGCCTTCAGAGGGCTGCTTTCCTCACTTTCCACTTACCCCACACAGTGGCAGGAATACCTACGCTTCCCAAACTCTGTTGTGGCGAGCGCCGTTCCCTGTCACTCACACTCCCACCTGTCCCTGGTTCAGCGGGCTCTCCTCTGGAAAACCTTGAACCCAAACCGCCTCGAGGGACTAGCTGACATGATATCTGCCTCCCAGCTCTGCCTGCCCGTTCGGACTGTGACGTCTGAGACCCCTCACACCGGGAACCCAGGGTCTCTCTCACGATACCTTCTCAAACATGAAGGACCCATCATTCTTACCTTGCCAAGTCCAGGAGGAGAAAACAGGACAAGTATCCGGCCTCTTCGATTAATAAACACATTGGCAGACTGTGTCAGAGAAACAGGGGCTAAACAAGAGGTAACACACCGTTCTATTTAGTTTTAACTTGATACCAGTCTACACATTCTTGTTTTACTAAATTAATATGTTTTATTTTCAGGTAAAAGTAATTTCTTTAGGGGCTCTGTGTGACGGAGAGATCATCCTCTCAGCGCTGGAGAAAGCAGTCGATGACGGCCACTGGTTGGTTCTGATCGACTGTCATCTGTTGGAGCGATGGGATGATAAAGTAACGGTTCGCCTCAGTCAGTTGATCTCGTCTTTCAAAGGTAGGTCATCCATCAAGAGTCCCTTCACATTGTATTTGCATCAGTCATAATCATTAACACATGATTTAATGTCCGGTGTGTAAACTCATTCGTCTGCGTCCGTGATTACTGTTTCACAGGAGAGCGATGCCCCACTCACCCGTGCTTCCGGTTGTGGTTTATAACTCAAGAGTGTTCATCACGCCACATACCAGGTAATCCATTTTATTTCCATTGCCGCTTTGAATAAGTTAAGTTTTCCTTTTAATCCCAGACGCAATAAATAATGGTTGGTTTTTTTTTTCATTAAACAGCGACAGTGCGAATGTGTTGCCTGCCTCTGGTCTGCGACTCTCCCTGGGATCTGAAGGAGGAGCTGAGCTGCTCCCTGCAGCAGGTTGTTTCCATCACACAGAGTCAATCACTGTCGGGTTTAACGGCAGACAACAAGGAGTTCCTCCTCCGCTGTGCCATCTTCCACTCCATCTTACTGCAGAGACAGACCTGTAAATACTTAGGCCAGGGGAGAATATACAACTGGTGAGGAAATGGGCCTGAATAATGTCTACTGCAGATAATATAGTGTGTACACATGATATGGATTAATGTATGAGTTGTTTAAATGTTGGATGTATAATCATGGATAAAGAGTTTACACTTGTGGATTGTTTCCAGGGATCAGGGCGACCTCCTGGCTCTGGTGAATGCTCACAACTGCATCAGCAGTCTCTGTCCAGACAAGACTAAAGCGTTGCAGTATATAGCAGGTGAGGCAGCAATCACATCTAAACCTGTCCCTCTACTTTACTCTCTGTTTTTTCTTAATCGTGTTGTACTTTTCATTCTTAGGCAACCTGGTGCACGGCGGCCATGTGTTCGACTCTGCAGATTTGGAGGTGGTGGAAAACATTGGCAAGGCCTGCCTCAGCAAAGTGTCTCCCCTCTGGGGCAGTGGGCAACACATCCTCTCAGACATCATCAGCAACCCTGGCCAGTTCGGTAACCACACAACTTTCCTAATGTCCCGTATTTTGAATAGTTTGCATCACATAAGCTAATTGATGAGAGCGTGAACTGGAGGGAATGAGGTCAGACATGTTCACAGCAACAAAATAGGGGGCGGGGGGGGGGTTCACCTAGGTAGAGAAAGCAGGAGGCAGGAAATCTCTTGTATCGACTGTTATTTTTTTTGTCCTCAGATCTGCCAGGACTACTGCAGATATTGGAGCATCATCTTCGGGATTCAGCGAAGATCAATGACCCCGTCGTGCTGGGCTTTAATGAGGATGTGGCTGCCGAGATAATCAAGATCAACAGCCACAATTTGAACATTCTGCTGCAGGCCTCCCAGAATCCTCTGGGGTCAGCGAGGACTTCACGTCGCACCTTCACGGTGCCAGCCTACAGCCACGCCAGAGACAGACTGCTGGCTCTGAAGAGTTACCTCACTAACAGGAGTGACAGCGGAGTTAAAAATGCAGAAGCTGTTTCTCACAGTTCCCTGAGTGACTTCCTCCAGGCGGAGTGGGGTGAGCTCATTGATACGGTGTCCTCGCTCCTGTCACAGCTGCAACAGCCCGTTCATCACGGCTGGTCGACCTTCACTTCCCTCCCCGACTTGTCTCGCTTGGAGAGGAGGGCAGAGCTGCTCAGTGCTTATGTCGGGCACAACAACACCTCAGATCCACCCGGTGCATACCGACTGGCTGCTTTCAGAAATGCAAGAGGATTTCTCGTGGCACTAATGAGGAAGGTGGCTCGAGAAAATCTCAGATATATCAGTGATATAGAACTTCATTTTCAGGTAAATCATGACATCATAGTGAAGTGACTTTACAGTTTTGGAAACCAGTGGATGAAAACAGTGAATCTACTTTTACTACAGGATGAAAATTGATCATTCTCTTGTCCCCGCAGGTTCTGAGTGACGGCAAGTACCCAGCCTCATCTCCTGTGGATGCTGTGTATCTCTGTGGCCTGGAGCTCAGAGGGGCATCGTGGGACACACAGCTGGGAGCGCTGCAGTGCACAGACTCTCAGCAGCCATGCTCAATGCCCCTTGTTTGCCTCAATGCTCAAGTCAGGAGCACAAACCTCGCCCAAGACACCCTCCCTCGTAACGTTCGAGTCTCTGAGGCTCCCTCGTCGACCGCCCCTCAGTTACCAGTCCACCACTGCCCCCTCTATCTAGATGAAGAGCGAAAGCTGGGAGACTCGGGTCTGGCAGACGCTCACATTATAACTAAGGTTCCCCTTCATGCCAGGTTAAATCCAGTGTTGTGTAGTTTGAGACGAGTGAGGCTTGTGAGTCTGCTCTGAAAAAAATCATCCTGCTCTCTCTCCTACTCTTTCCGCTCTCTCACTCTTTCTCTCTCTCTCTCTCTAATTTTACCAACCATTTTTATGATGGTCGCGTTGACTCATTATTCTTTCTGCTTTCTGAACCACTCACCTCTTCCAGAGAGAGCTCAGGTGTTGTTGCCTGTACTCCAGTGATCTTGAATCAGTAGTTCTTGTCTTTCACTGACAGCTCATGGAACCAGCGCACAACTGAAAAGGTTTAAAAGACTCTTGATAAAAAGTTGCATAAAATGTTCTCGCGGACACCGAAGAGGATTCCAAGCTTCCTCAGCAAATGAATCAGTGTTCTCATCAAATCGGAGTTGTGAGTCAAATACTGATTTTTACTTCTCACTGTTTGAAGCTGGCAAAGATGTATTGGTGCAGCATCACTTCAAAAAAGCTTGTACCCCGTTAATCCTCAAAGTCATTTGCAGTTGCTGTAAAATGTCTGTGCATACTTTTTGTAAAACTTTAGATTTTTCATTTAAATTGTTGCACAATGTCATAAAGACAGTTCCTCACATTTTATCCAAACTAGCTGACAGAGGTGGAGTAAATCTTCTGAACGGTTTTAAAAATGGGACATCAGCACCGATTCAAAAAAATAAAATGCACCAAATAACCTCACATAACTAAAAGCTTGTTTCTTCAGGCGGTTTATCAGCGTTACCATTCCCTCAATTGTTGATTTATGGATTAAGTTAAATGTTATGTCAATAGTAGGACTGGGTGTTCACCATGTAGTGGTTATATTTTAATATTTAACTGAATTCTTCCGTCTCCCTCCCGCAGGCAACATGGACCGACACCACTATGAGACTTTTGAGAAGTTTGGCAACAACACTGTTCTGTTGCACCTTGACAACGGCAGAGCGCAAGTATTCTTCTCATTGTTCTCATGATCAGTGTTCATGTAGACACACTTAGTTTGTATGCATCTGTGCTGGGGACTGACGCCGGAGACATTTTGATATCTGAAAAAACACCTTGAGGGGATTTCTTCAAGTTTGTCACAGAACATCAAGAGCACTCACAGATTAACTGATTATATTTTCATGGTCAAACATCACAGTGGCCTCACAAAACGTGTTTTTGGGCCCCTGAACGTGATTTCTCAACTTTGTCTGCAAGGACTTCCTTTCAATTTCAAAGACTGGAAAAATAAAGTTTTATTATTATTGTGATTTACTGATTTTGACTGTGTTGTCACTGCAGATTTGGGCGTCACTCCAAAGATGAGCCTTCCATCCTCGCTCCACTAGAACAGTGCTGCAGGTACAAACAATTTCTTCTTTACTAAAATCATCGCCTGTCTTTGTACAGTCCACAGTGATATTCGTCCTCTCTGGCTACATTTAGTTAAAATAAAAGATTTTCCTTTGAGCATATGAGATATAATCCAGATTTCTTCAATTGTTTATGCTTAAGAAAATCACCTCTGTATCATAAAAACACAAGTAACACTGGGTGTTATATCAGAGGTCCATCCTGTCCTTTTCTCTTCAACACCTCTTCTTTAATTTTGCTTTTTCTCCAGGATCCGTCAGACCACGTGGCTTCGCCTGCGTCTCCTGTCTCTGCCTCAGTATCGTCTCAGTGATGTCATGCGGGCCTCGCTCTCCCAGGATCCCCTGCACCGAGCGGCCCCGCTGCTGTCAGAGCCCCACCTCGCTGCTCTCGATCGGCGTCTGCAGACCGTGCTGGAGACCGTGAGTCATTGCCAAAAGCAACAGAGCGGGGACGGTGGTGGTGATGGGGTCATTTTGGACGACACCCCCCCATTGAAAGACTTGGTCACTCCTGCAGGGTAGAGGATGTTGATGTTCGTCACACAAGCACACGCAACATGTCAGCAGTTAAATTAACATTGCAGTAAAAGTCGCAAGGACTGAAATGGTTTCTTTTCATATTTTCTGTAGCAGGTTGAATAAATGAGAAAAAACAGAGTTATTAGTTTTATTAAAGTCACACATTTATAACACTACAATTTCCAGGTATTGAAAGTGAAATTTTGGAAACCAAACTATAGTTTTTTTTATTACTATTATTTGTTATTTGTATATTTTGACATTTAATTGAAATCCTGATCCTGTGATGATTGCATTATGTGACAACAGCAATAATTTCCCTCAATATTAACAAAGTGCTTTGACAACTGGTCTGATAATGTCACTTCACTGCGATGCAAATATATAGAGTATATTCAATTTAACTTGGTATCGTCCGAATTCATTTCTTCATTTGTCCTTTGAATATATGCCGCCTGTATTGTGTGATAAATTATTGCGATTAAATCTATGACAATAAATTCTGAAGAGAAAACTTATAACTCACAAACACAAACACTTTGATGAGCCGAATTGAAAATGGAGGATGAAAATTATGTATTCCTCACTTTTTACTTTGTGTTTGAATTTTCAGTACTGAAATAAGAAAATCCATTTACATTCGTGAATATTAATATTTAAAAATTGTTAATATTCAAACTAGAGAATTTCGACTACATTACAAATACTGAATAGATTCTCCAGTCCAGCTCTATGTAGAAAATGTTCTTTCATCACCTGTCTGTCTTCAACTCTTTGTTTCAGCTTTCATCTGGATTCGATATGATGGTTTGTTTTATTGATTCTTCTCTTATTTCCATTTGAATTTTTATGTGTGATGCTTCCGGACGAAGTCGTATCTGTGCAACTAACTACTTGATAATTTAATAGTCTACCGTTTGTTAGGCAGCAGTGTGTTTCACCAAAGTTACTATCCTAGGCGTGAGTGTGCATCACAGCTAGTTGGACAGCCGTCGTCCTCCTCAATCAATAATTTACCTGGCCGGGTCGTATCGATGGCACCTACTCCCTTTCCTCTTCTCCTTCCTCACTTGTTCACTCTTTCCATGAAAACTGCTGATGACAGGGGCTTAAAGAGAACATCAACAAATGAAAACAGGCAGAGAGAGGGAGGAAAGCACGGTTGTTCGATGTTGTCTGCCTCAAGACGCTGATACACAGGACAAGAACCGACTGAGGAAGCTTGAATGGGAATACAGACTCTTTACAGAAGCTTCTGTCTCTGACGTTCAACTTTCAAGACTTTTATCTTTGTGAGAAGTTTATATTTCCATCAGTCACAATGTCAGGAGCCAGTAGTGACCAGCTGCACAGATCAACTCTAACCGTCTATTCGGTGAGTTTATATTATTGTTCGGTCTTTGGTTCTTATGGCCTGAGTCATATGGGTCGTGCTACATTATTCTTAAAAGGGATGTTGGTCTTTTTATGTGTGTGTGTGTGTCTGTGTTTGTGTTTGCAGAACCTGATGGAGCACTTCAATCCAGGCCTCCAGAAACTTGTTGCTCTAGGAAACAGCTACGTCAAAGCTTTTCAAGGTGAGCGAGCGTCACGAGCGACTGGCTGAGGGTGCACGGCTGGGTGATTCAATTAGAGAGTGATCGTCTGAGTGTGCACGTGCGTATCAGACAGACACACACAGACATTTGCACAGTTAATTTGATTATTGCCATCTGTACATTTAATTTTTCAATTAACACACACTAACAGAATGTGTGAAAATATCATACTTTCTAATGTTATAATTAGCAACCTGTTGTTAGTCCCATGTTGGACGAGCCAGAATAAGTAATATGTACTTAATAATAACAATAATATAAAGGACATTATGCTGTAGGTGCTGTAAAAATGTTTCCATGGTGATGTCGGTGGTATCAGAGCTGATGGATTTTACAGAAATCACCGAGCCTCAGGTTGTGCAAGGATACAAGGGAACTCTGACAAGAAGGTCATAGACCTACTGCAACAAGATCCACGGTGTCTGTTACGCATTATTAGCACTTTTTTTTATCAGGGTTGTTTTTAATGCAGCGGCAAACTTTTAGTTTGTGAACAGTTTGTGAATATTTTTTCTTAAGTCACTGGGCTTGTGTGAGGTTTTATTTCCGGAAAAGTGATATGTTTAGTATATGGAATAAATTATATCTGAATAAAAATGTTCTCATCAGATGATATCCATAAATGTCACATTATTATTTATTTGACTTTTAAAGACTGAGTGAAGGTTGTGGTTTTCTTAATAAGCAGAGAATCATTTAACAAATCTGAGATCAATGTTGTGTTTTACCTCCTCACTCTGCTTTCACAATGCATAAGGATTATATCGATGTATATATTGAACTGTGCTGCTATTGATTAAAAATATAATAATTAATTATTAATAGAATATCATTTTCATTGTATGTAAAATAAAATATGCAAAACTCATATTTCAGGACTGAAAACAACATGTAGTTGATTTTAAACCTTTTCTTGAAAACATGACGTATACCAACATTTACAATAAGAACCTTTTGTGTTAGCTTCACTGTGCGTTTGTCCGGGTGTTACATTGGTAGTGTGGTGAGCAGCATGTATCATTGATGCACCTCTGCCTGATAAAACAAGAACAGGACGTCAGTCACAGGGCAACAAGGCGGTAAAACTACACCTGCCCATAAATCCCCTATCGCGTGTCGACACTGCGAGGCTTGTGTGAATGAAGTGAATAGAAATAGAGCGGTTTGTGTGAAGTCGGAGACGTGTAACTGGTTAAAAGCTGTAAGATGTGCTTATTATTGCATATTTGTTTGTGTGCTGCAGCACTGGCTGTTTGCAGTGAGGCCTACTTCAGTGCTGTGGCTAAGATGGGTGACCAGGCTCTTCACACGCTCTCCTCTCGCTCTCTTGGTAAGTTTGTCTCGTTGATCACTCAGTCGTTCCATCACTGGGTTTATATTAAAATTTGATGCATTCGTAACAGAAGCGGAACTGTTCCTGTCGATCAGGTGGGAAAACGTTTTCCTATAAAATTTTCGTAAGTTGACGCTTGAACACTGCGTTGTCTCTAATGCCGTGTCTGTTTGCTGAGGCACCTGATGTCAGATGGTATTGATGATTCTAAAATAACTTCACCTTTCATAGAGTGGGGCACGACTTACACAGCTGCCTTGTATGAAACTCGATCGTGATCCCACGCTTGTTATATCTGTCGGTTCTATCGATTTTATGTCCAGAGAGGGAAACTGGATCTGAATCTGTGGAACCTTCACAAACTCCCCTTCAGCTCCTTAGCCTTTTGCTCACTCAGCTCAAAACATCGCCCTGCCTCTTGTTGGGCACAGAAAACTTTATCCATGCTCACTCTCAATGCAGCTGTAAGGACACTTGGCCTTTTTCATCACTGCAAGTGCGTTCCTGTAAACAAGGCACTCTGGCAAGAACCATCGAGAATAAAGAAAGTAATCTCCTGCCTTTTGAAAGTGACCTGACGAGCGGCTGTCCACCCTGGAGGACATGTCAGTCTACCATTATATTATTCTTGAACTGCTTTCTTTGGATTTATGAATTCTTTCGTATGTTGCCCGGCGTACATCCTCCCCTGCTTCACTTTCACTTCGACCCTGGGGACGTACGCTAGCATTGTTGGCAGTAATTAGCAAATAAGCTAACTCGTCTCCTTTGAGTGTGTGTGTGGGCTCGTGCATAAGTGCTAGCAAGAGAGGTTCGGCTACGTTGGCTAACTGAGAAGGTCAGGGAGCCACAGCGTGACCTGGGGCCCTATTGAGTGACGGCCCCTGAATTATATATGGGGACAGTCTTTCAGCTGCACTCAATTCATTAGTTCAACCACAGTCCATCACAATAGACGAGAGCAGAGGCCCCAGTCAAACAAAGAGCCTCGCTAACTTTCCACCATTTACACAAGAGTCTGTTTGACTCGGACTGAATTGTGTTAAAGTCGTTTATCAGATTACTGCACCACTCACATGTTGCTCCTTTCTTTTCTAATGGACGTTAATTAAACAAAATCAGTGATAGAAAGTTTTTACACATGAATTCTTTAAAGGGACATTTTGTTGTACACGCATTAAAATACTCAATAGAACAAATATCACGTGCAGTATTCTCACAACAGTTATTTTTGTTTGAGGCAATTTGATGTGTGTTGCTCTGGTTTTGTCTTAAACAGGGGACGTCCTGATCCAAATATCAGACACACAGAGGAGACTCACTGCAGAGATGGAGGGTGTGGTCAGTACATGTCTTCTGTTAATTGTCATTTCCATTCAAATTAATAATATTGGATCTGAATAACATGGTAGTTAGCACAGTAGAAATTCATCTTGCTAAACGAACCTTATAGGTAATAAACTTTATAAAAAGAGGGATGACATGAAAAGTCAAAACTAGTGTCTCCACTGCCCCCTGGTGGCTGGCTGCAATAAAGGTTGTAAACCCTGCCTCACTCATCTTAATAGATGAGATGTGAGTCCAATTAAAAAGTTTAAGTACACCTTAAATATGTTTTTCTTAAAAATGGTTTCTGTCCTTTTAGGTAGTTCTCATCACACGCTTGTTTTTTTCCGATAAGTTTGAAATCAATTCGTTATATGATTCTACTAAACCATGTGAAACTTCCTAATTGATAGCCGAGACTCATTCCGCTGGCTCCTAATCACGTTTATATCACGGATGTAACACAATTAATCAAAGATCAATTCTGCATATTGGGAATTACACTTATTTACCCTTTTACCCTGAGATGACCCTGACAGGTTCCTGCTTTAATTCACTGCCTGATTAAAATTCATTGAGCCATTCAGACCCTGGTGCTCGATTGCAGTGTCGTGTAGTGATGTGAATAAGAAAAACACCAGCCTGAGGACCGGCTACATTTGCATATAGATTTAGTTAAATAAAACAATCAAGCCCATGATGTCCACGACACTTTGAGCACGGGGAAGAGTTTCCATAATAACTTAGTTACATCACAGCAGAATCGTTTTTCTTCTTGCTACAGTTTCGATGGTTCCAGGTTGAGGTGCTGCAAGCCATGGAGAAGAACGTGAAGCTGGACGAGGAATACATTGATGTGAGTTTACAGAGGAGAAAATCCTTCAGTCTGATGACAAGCGATGATCTATGTCAACAATCAGGCAGCTATTCTATTTAACATCTTTCTCAGCATTCATCAAACTTTTTTCTGTTATTAGCTGAACAGAGTAAAATATTCTGTCAGTGTCAGGAAGATATTTATCAGTGGTTTTCTTCTTCTGCAAATGGACTTACTGATTGGATCACGATGGTTTGGCTCGTCTGTGTGGCTCAACCCATCGGATTGTGAACAGGATTTAAATGCATATGTCGAACAAACATTTCTTGAAATTCTATTTTGACGAGCCCCTGAAAACTAACTTTAAATTGTAGCAGAGAAGATATAATCTGGGACAGGTCTGTGAATGTGCTGCTCTAAACCAAAACTGTCTGTGGAAAAACAAAGTGTCAACAAATTCAGGGAAACTCATCCTCACCACTTCAGACTTTGTTGAATCGAGCTGTTTCCCGTGCTGCAGGGGAGTCGCAGAGTTTATGAGCTGGAGGTGAGGAATCAGGCCGAGGCTTTGGAGAAACAGCTCAGACGAGGAGCTTTCAGAGACTCTCTGGTACACACACACACACACACACACACACACACACACAGTCCAGTGGCTACACTTCTGCACCTCTGGACGGTTATTTGTGCTTCGTGTGTTTCAGGAGAACAGTGAGTACATGCTGTACCTGAGGCAGAGCCAGCAAGAGATCCTCAAGGAGGAGGAGAGGAGGTATCGCTTCCTGGCAGAGAAACACTGTGGCCTCACTCAGTCACTCCTCTTCCTCATAAACAAGGTACATGAATATACACCACACAACAACTGGTCAACCCAGAGCAGCAGCCGGCCGCCTCCTGTGTCCTCACACAAAGAAACAAGCTGCTGGTTTCCTGTGCTGCAAAGTTTAAATGCAGCTAAATTCAGGCTGATCCAGCTGCTTCAAGACCTGCACAGAACTCTGAACGATCTCCTGAAATTGTCCAGAGGGGCTGTTAGTGAGAACGCAAATGTCAGAGTCAGTTGCTGCAGAATATCTCCAGAGTTTCTCCTCCAAACCCCGGTAGTAAAAACTCCAGAGACTGTCTGAGTGAGCCCGATATGAGAACGTTGCAGATGATCTGCAGGACTCACCTCGAGCCAGTGGGTGTGCTGACGACATTTCTTACACGTGACAGACGCAAAATTAAAAAAACCAAAACAAAAAGAATGTAGGATTGTAGAAGAGGATTCATTCACGCAGAAGACACTGACGAAGAGATCAACTTCAATAGTCAACGAGATTCGAGAGTTTTGGTGACACAGGACATTTATACGTGATGTCCTTCCCGAACACAATGGCTCTGACTGAAATGTGTTCTTCAAATGTGAAAGACGAAACTCCAGAGAAAGTCCAGAGCCAAAATGAAATGCACTCAAATGTCTCTTCAGTCAAAACATTCTAGTTAAATAGATAAATAGTTTGATTATCTGAAACTCTCGTCTCAGTGTCTTTACCTACTGATGCGTTGCTGTTGAATTAGCTTCTGCCTGATCAGGCTGAGACTTAATGAGTCGCTCTCCTCTCTCTCTCTCGTCTCTGCTTTCAGACCGGTGCATCTCTTCAGCAAAAGGCAGAAGGGTGGAAGGAGAAAGTGAACGAGACCAGAGGGTCCAGACCTCGCACGCCCACACATTTGGACCAAGAGGCACAGGTAGCAACAGGTCGACGGGAACATTACAGTTCAGTAAATGATGTTCCACACTCTGGAGAAGTGTGTGGAAGTATCAGACTGCACCAGCTTGTGCCTCAGAACACATTCAGTGTGCTGTACATTCTCATATTAGGTGGCTCTTGATCACCTCCTGGTGGCTGGCTACAGTATAGGTCATAAACCCTGCCTCCTCCATGTTACTGGATAGGACATGCACCAAACTAAAAAAAAGGTTGAAATACAAGTCCAATACATTTTTCTCAAAGAAGGTTTCTGTCATTTGTTTCTAGTAAGTTTGGTTTTGATTGAATATGCGACGTCAAAAGCACAAGATGGGGGAACTCGTATCTGGGATATTTATGGCGTCACACTATAACACTTGCACAGCACCATCTTCTTCCTTCAAGTTACTTTACCTGTGTATGATGCGTCTCTAGCTCCGAGGTTCAGTGAGCTCCCTGCTGCAGACGGTTGCCAGAGATGAAGACATGTCGTGGGCCAGGAGGGAGCAACAGGCCCTGGGCAGAGTGCCCTCTAGAGGTGGGAGGCATACAGTACTAATCACAGTACCTGTATCTTAACATGACATATTCTGTCAGCCACAGACGCCAAAGCTCATCTCTTTCTGTCCCTCCTCCGTCTCCTCTCCTGCTCCAGCACCGTCACCTCTGCCCAGCCGCTCTCGCTCCAGCTCAGTGGGTGAATCTCTGGGTCTGGGGGGAGGAAGATCCATGAGAGCCCTGGTGTCTCACCCCTCCTCGTCCAACCCGAAGCTTCTGCCTTTCAACAGAGGAGAGACCGTCACCGTCCTGGTCCAGGAGCCGCGCAACGGCTGGCTGTACGGACGCACTGACAGCAGCCTGCGGTGAGTGGATGGAAAAAAGAAAATATGTGTATCCATTTATGAGACTGAGGAACCACTTACATTTTATACTCCTTATTATTGACAAGAGAAATGAATAAACATATGAATTATCAGACATAAATAAATATTTCTGGAAATGGTGACAGGTTAATGGTCCCAGAAAGTCACACCACATGGATCTAAGTGTCATTTAGAGTAAAAAAAGCTGTAAAACATAATATTTACCACTTGAAACCATGAACTAAATGTAAAGTGTACAGAACATAGTGTAATGGTTGATACAGGACTTCATTCTGTTTCCTCTGTGTCTCTGTCTCCTCCAGTCAGGGCTGGTTCCCTGCTGCCTATGTGGCGCCGATTGAAGATTTCTCCAACACTTTAGCGACGAGGTAAGAATCACACCGGTGTTATTCAGGGAAATGTACTTGTCTGTATTCTAACATTTGCACCTGCACGTGTGAATCCTGCTTGTTCCCTCAGCGGTGGTTCCCTGAGAAGCCACAGTATGAACAATCTGCTGGATCCCACTGACACCTACACCGAGCAATCGGAGAGCAAGAGCTACGGAGATGTCCCGCCCCCGGCCACGCCCAACCGCAGAGCTTCCGTGGACTTCCGGCCAATCTCTCCACTCCCAGAGAAGAAGGCGGAGCCAGCGACAGAGATGAGGCTCGGTCAGACGAAGAGCTACAGCGAACACCCGCCTCCTCCTCCGCCGCCGCCTCCACAGAGTCAGAATCTCAGGAGGAGCTCGTCAGACTTTCAACCGATCTCCCCTCTCCCTGAGAGGAAGAGTGAGTCAGCATCTGATGTGCAGGTACCAGAGGATTAATACTGAGAAGAAATGGATTTTATTCCTTTTCCATGTTAAATTACTCTGATACAGAAATTCTAGTTTGATGTTTGGGTTCTTCACATTGACAGTGCTCTCTTGTTTTAGGCTCTTTCGCCCCAGGGACCTGAAAACCCTCTGTTTCCCAGGTAATTATCAGTGTGTCAACAACCTAGTTTTTATTCTCTGGACTCAGTGAATACATTTTATTAAAGATTGCACCATCTGTGCTGTTTCTGAAAAATTATATCAGCGTGAACAAAAACCTGAATACACTTCGGGAAATTTCACTCGTCATAGAAATTAAAACAGGTGTGATGTGTATTTAGGTTCCTTTGTTGCACCTGGTGGTTGACACGATATTATTTTAGATTTTATCCAGGTATTCTTTCGTCCACGCATTTCACAGTTTATCAAAAATCTGGTTCAGTTGACAGATGCTCAAATCCAGACAAAATGAAAGTGTTCGTCAGTTTCAGTCTTTAAGAATCCAAAGACTGTGTACTTCATGTGTGTTGGCAGCTGAGCACCTGAGGTGTTTGTGTAACATTTTCCGTCATCCTCTCATTTCAGAGGCACGAACCCGTTCGCCACAGTAAAGCTTCGACCCACGACGACCAATGACAGATCTTCTCCTCGGATCCACTGACCCTTCAGCGCTCATGCAGGCGGGGTTTGTGAGTGACGCTGCCAGATCAGGTTGTGGAGGCAGCATATGCATTTATTTTGTTTCTGTGTGATGTCGTCTCATCTGAAACGTGAAGGTCTGAGCCAGAAGAGCTGAGGAAGAGTTGCTGAGTTTCTTGTCCCGTATTAGATAAGATGACGTGTTTCTTGTACTAAAAGTCTGCAGTACATCTTAATGATTCAATATCAAAATCATAAAGTTTAATGTTGATAGGTGCTGGTTTCCTTTTGTAAAATTTGTAGGAAATACACTTATTGTTATTATTATATACAGTATATCGCTAAAAACTGTCAATTTAATTCCGATTATATTGTGTTTTTTTTCTCATTCTTTATAAATTAAAACTCCATTCTGTTAAATTACAAGTTATTTCTAATTAAATTACAAGTTATTTCTAATTAAATTACAATATTTTCAACTTCCTTTTCAATTATGACTTATTCTAGTAATATTATGACTTTTTCCTGTTAAATTACACTTTTATTCTCGCAATATTACAACATTATGCTTGAAATCTTTTCCTTAGATGGTAGATCTGTCTGATAAATACAAAGCTACAGCTATCAGCTGATATCAACCCGTGTTTATTTAGTTGATCTCTTTTACCGAAGCTCTTTTATTCTGTCATCGTTTTGGTTTGGTCATGTGATGAAGATCAGATTTGACAGATCTAAACATACAAATCCTTTCACATTTGATTTAAGTGATATTTGATGCTGACGCAGTATTTATGCTTCACGCTGTTCTGTGACACGTTTTAAATTGTTCAGTGTGTTTTAGTGAGTTGAATGTTTTGTGTCGACTGTGAGCAACAATAAGTAAAAAGACAGTTATTACTCAACCTTTATTTATTATCATTTCTTACTCAGATCTTTTTTTTCCCTTCACAGCTCGTCTTATATATCATATTTACTTAACTACATCATCTGATCGAAGGCAGGGAGAGAGGCGGAGGAGGAGGAGGAGGAGGAGGAGGAAGGGATAGGGGAGAGGAGGTGAGGTGAGGGAAGGTGGATGAAGAGGAGGAGGAGTGGGAGGAAAGTGCACTGTTATGTGAACATCTAGAAGTAAAACTAATCAGACAAGATGCACAACCTGAAATACACAGAGGAAGATTCAAGGAGTCTTTATAACATCTACACCATCTACAGCACTAGCACCACCTGTTTTCAGACCACAAACTATCCTCATGAAATCATCAAGAATGATTCTGAAACTCAAACAGCATGAGCGAGTCAATGTGATATATATAAAAAATGAAACTGGTTCCTATGACGCCTGTATGTTTCTCCTCACGGTGACTTCCTGCCCGCCTGCTTCTGCTCAGGTTTGGTGGGGGAGCAGCTCTGGTGTGACTCCATGCTCGGGGGTCCAGAGGGAGGTGACAGGAGTTTGGTGGTGGCCGTTACAAAATATGAATGCAGGGACGAAGAGGAGGAGGAGGAGGGAGGGGTGTTCAGCCGTCCCCTACTCATGCACCAAGGTCTCAAACTCTGAAAGAGAAAAGTCGAAATGGAAAAAGGTCAAAGATTATAGGACAGACTCTACAGCTGAAAGGAAAATGATGGCAGTATTCTTTATTTCTATATTGTAGAAAAAAAAATCTATTGAGTAGATTCTGTGCAGCTGTGGACTGATTTATATTATTTCCTGAACTACAGAGTTCCAGACTTGTCGAGGCAGAAATAGCTCCGGTGAAAATTATAGCATAAACTTGTCCAGTGAGCCATGCACCATAGACTGTATCTAAAGATGGACGATATGACTGATCCGCAAAAGTGAAGCCACAGCGTCTCGATCGACCCCTGTCTGTAACCCCGCCTCCTCCATGTAAGGGATCAGGTGCTTTTTTGGTAAAAAGGTCTTCTGTCCAAAAGTGATTCAAACTGTTATGAGCCACTCTGTTCCACTTCTTCCAAAACACACACAAACAAACACACACTGTGCTTTATTTTTACTCAGTCCCACAGACTCTGTCCTGCTGATGGGAATATGCACTTGATTGCTCAGTGTTTATTAATTTTCGTCGAACAGATGCTCCGTTTATTTCTGTTTGAATACTGTTTGCAAAGTATTAAGAGATGCACTGATGACTTTTGTTCAAACTGAAGTAAATTAACTCCCGTGAACACATAAACCATGATGTGCATTTTGCACAAAACAATATTCTTTATTTTCAGACAAATGATCCACGGCTGAAATTCCATTGTTTTGATTTAGCTTATATCTGAAGTCGGATGCTCCTGTGCTGCAGCCTCTGCCTTCTTTTCTTTAATTATACACAACTCTCTCTCACCGTCAATGCCGATCTTGCCGTCTCCATCTTTATCTGCTGCTTTGAGGAATTCTCTTGTCTCTGCATCAGTCAGATCTCTGCCCTCCTTGGAAAAGCCCTTCAGCACATACCTGCAGAGAATCATCCCTCACGGTGTTCAGTGAAAACAGGACAGAGAACGGACTTCTCAATTTACTGCTTATTGGCCTAGAGCCTGGTTTTTATGTGTGTTTGTGTATTTCTGGGTCTTTGTGAATCCCTCACTTGAGCTCTTCCTCTTCTATGAATCCGCTGCCGTCCACGTCCAGGACCCGGAAGACCTTCTTGACGTTTTCGGCTGACATGGCCCTCATCCCGACCATTTCAAAGAACTTTCTCGGATCAAATGTTTCTCCTTCAAGAGGCAAAAAGAGAAATGTTTAGTTCGGTTATTTATGTGGCTTGAACAACGTGTCTGCGTTTACTGTGACTGTCAGTGTCACTCCTCTGTGGGTCTGTGTCTGCTGAGAACGTGAACGTCAATCCTACAATGGTTACAGACCTTCGAAGGCTTCCAGAGCTTTCTTGATCTCCTCAGCTTTCAACAGATCTGTCATCGTCATTTTGTCAGCTGGAGAGAAGGAAGAGGTGCAGGGTGAGAAATGACAGAGCAATATTTCAAAGAGACGGGAGCACAAGAGGTGGAGGGTTTGGTGGATAAGCTGATGCACTTTATTATGCATGATTCATTCTGTTGGAAATACATTGTTGAACTACACCTCCTCTGTCTAACGTGTATTTCAACATTAAATCACAGCATACAGTATCTAAAAGCACTTTACACAATGAGGTAAGGTGAGTTATGCAGCATTAAGTCATTTAACCTTTAACCTTTCCAGTGGAACTTCTGAGGGCACAGTGGAAAACCACGCTTTGCATTATGAAAGTAAAGCTGAAGCTAAAATGTGACATGGATGTTTCCCTGAAGGTTGGAAACATGAAAACTGTATCTGCCCTTAGTTGCAGTTCAGTGCAGCAGCCTGTGGGTGTCAGAGCTGAGCTGGAGTCTCAGGCTCGTTGTGTTTACAGCCAGCGTCTGGAATCAAGTGTCCAGTTGTCAAGACAGATGTTCGACGGACGTGTTCGTGTCTAAAAGGGAACTGAGCTCAATCGTGTGTGTTCTCTTGTGGCAGAGCCCAGAGGAGTAGTTTCTATAGTTCCCCTGCAGGCTGCGCTGTGGTGATCCCTCATACATCCTCCACCTCCTTGAGTGAAGGACAAAGTGTCAGTCGACTCTTTCTTTTCTGTACTTGACACTACAGGTCACAGTCTATCTCTATCCATCACCCATTCATCCACTGTCACACGCAGACTGAAGGAGCCGGGGATCGAACAACCGACCTTCCGATTCATAAACGACCTGCGCTCTGTCCCGAGTCACAGCTTCTTCGCTCGTTCTCAACTGTCTCTCCACCCATTACAGTCGTCGAAAGGCAATTAGAGAAACTTTATTTGTGCTGAGCTGTTAAAACTTTCCCACTAATGACTGAATATCTGATGAATAAATCAACGTCTCAGGTCTCAGGTCTTTGTACTTTAGTCGGGTCGAGACAGAAAGGTCGCCTGGTTTGAAACAACGAACTGATCCGACCTGTTCCTCTGGTTCTTGGTATCTATTAGCACAGTTGTTAAAAACTTCTCTGGGGTGAAAACATACCTGCAGCCTAAAGTGTGTTCACAACATCCTTGACCCTCATTGACAAGAGCTGTGGTTGGTTGTCCAAAGTGTCCTTGACCTCCTCGACATGTGACGTTATATTTAAGCTCCACTGAGATTTAATCTTTGTCTTTTCATTTGCTTTGAAACAAGCCCAGGAATTGCATCTTAAAAAGTTTTTTTCAGTCGTAAACTCTCAGTCAACTTTCCCTGAAGGAGGCAAGAGTTTAATATTTTGAAGCGTGTGTCAACATGGTTTCAGATCAGAAACGCGAACGCACAAGAGATCATTGATTGAAACTTTGGTAGAGGAACAGTGAGTCATGGCACAGCAAGTGTATTATTCATTGAAGTATATTTTATTAACACAGGTAGTCTCACTCAGCATCTGGCCCTGAATCTTTCTTTTTTCCAACAACAATGAAACACATCGAGAATATGTAAAACTAATAACTGCTGCTAAACTGCCACACACACACACACACACACACACACACACACACATTTTGAGGATGTATATTATGTTATCATGAATTTCATTTATTTTCGCAGTGGCCTGCAGCTCAGGCCTCGCACCGACCAAAGACCCGAGCCCTGTATGTGAATCAGATATTTTCTGCTGCAACATTGAATATTTCTTCTCTGTACTGTCTGAAAGAAGGGATGGATGGATGGATGGATGGATGGATGGATGGATGCACCGGGGAGGAGACACAGAGGGCGGGAGGAGAAGTGATGGAGGTAAGACGAGCTCGTTGGGCAGGAGGACACAATAAGACTTTTAAGGCTGCAAAACACACACTTACACCATAAACCCCCTCCGCCCACCACCTCCTCCCCTCCTCTCAGTATTCTCTCTATCTTGAGAAAGGTAGAGCGGCTGTGTGTTTCTTTTTTTCTGTGCAGCGCTAACAGATCACACACAGGCCTATTAATAACACTACTTTATCTAACTGCCCCCTTATCTCCACCCAGGGCTTCTCCCTCTTCTCTGCACGACCCTCGTCTTCGTCTTTATTTATTTTTTACGCACGTCCGTCCTTTTTACTTTTATCTGCCCTGATTTATTCTGTAATCTCGCAGCTCTGGAGTCTGTGTCTTCCCTCTGCCACAGTTGTCACTTTAAAATAAGTTGAGAGATGCTTGGTTCGAGATAAGCAGGAGAACCATCGAGGTTGCAGGCTGACAGTTTGTAGCTGGTGTCGCTGCGTCGGCTGACGACTTGTTAACTAAACATTTGTCCTGTTAAATATATTAAATTAATTTGCTTTAAAGCTCTTTTTTTATATTTAAATATTGAACTTCATGCAAAGTCTTATGTGTATGTACATATACACCCATTCACCAGACTTGGACAGCAGGAGAGCAGGAAGCTGTTACTGAGGTCGTGCGTGCTCATGTCTCCGTCTTTCACCCCAAACGACCTCATCTTTCATCTAATCCCTTTGCTAATTTCCCCTTCACGTCTCCTCCTCCTTCACTTTCACTTAAATCTGTAATCCAACGATTTTGCTCCGTTTCTCTGTGCGTCCATATCTGTGTTGGTCTTATCACCCATCAATCTCTATCCGGTAAGAGCTCTGACAGCCTGTGTCTCTGTCTGACTCTTATCTTTTGTGAGGTGACGTCGTGAATCATCTTGCTCCCACTCAGAGAGATGAATGAAATTATGATCGGAGCACGCAGGAGAGATATGAGCCACTTGAGCCGTTACAAAGCTGCAGCCAGTTAAAGTAAAGGGCGTGAGATCTTTTACTATTAAAACCCATACTTAACTTTTAAAGCTCTGGATACTGTTGAGCACCTTTGAGTTAATATTGGCAGGTTCTGGTTTTTATGTTTTCAACCGTTAAACTTTAATTCAACATCAAATCTTCGTCTGGCGTGAACTTGAAGTCCTGGGACCTTTTTCATCTAACGGAGTCGCGGCACTGAACCAAACGAGAGCTTTTTATAAACTGGTGCAGAAGTAAAAGTTCTTAATTTTACTTTCCCATTGGAAATAGAAACTCGACCTCACTGCCTCTCTTGGACTCTTTGTAACAAGTCCTCGCATCGAAATGCCAAAAAACAAAGTTTGCTTATCTTATAATTGTTATCGTAGAACTTTATAACTAGAAGAATTTCCAATGTAGAGGAAATATCCATTCCATCAGCTTCTGGGTAGTATAGTTCATAAGGTCCAAAATGAATTGGGACCTACGGAGCGTTAGTCCCAAAACATGAAGGAGAAATTCCGGAAAAGGCAGATTTAAGAAATGTTCCAGAAGAGGAAAACTTGTGTTGTGAGGCTGTCATGACTTTGACCTTTACCCTTGACCACTGAAATTGAATCAGTTAATCCGTGAGTCCAAAAGAACGTTTGTGCCGAATTTGAAACGATTCCCTCAAGTCGTTCTTCAGGTATCGAGTCCAAAATACCTGGACGGACGGACCTACCATCTGATGCGTGCGCACAGACACAAGGACAAGCAGAAAACATGATGCCTCGTGCCACTGTCTCCAGTGTGGAGGAATAAATTGCTCTTCTCTGTCTCGTCATGCCCTGTGCTGACCCTCTGTTCTCTCTCTGTCCTGAGCGCTGTCTCCTCCATTCAATTTCTCCTCATCAGCATTTTCCAGTATTTGCAGAACAATGATGGAGGGAGGAGAGCGGTGGGGAGAACACGGGCAGAGTAAGGAATTGTATGGATGTGATTATTTCAATGAAATAATTGAGGAGAGGCGACTCGGGAGTTTGTCAAGGACGAGACGGAATCCGGCTGAGACCGTTAGCGTGGATAATGAAGGAGTCACAATGTTGTTAACGTTAGAGAGAGAGAGCAGGACTCTGGAGGATGGAGAGAGAATCAGAAAACAGGTTGTTGCTCGTACGTATCTGATCGTTTAATGTCGTGGTGAACAAAAACATTTAAACTGAAGATTATTGTGAATACATATATATTAGATACACACACACACACACACACACACACACACACACACACAC